CAGGTTGCCCTGAGGGTGGGCACAAAGCCCAGAGCCAACCAGCTACTGAGACTCCAAGAAAAGAGTGAGCCAAGAGGGTCAGCGGGGGAGACGGGGAGGAAAGTGAGTGAGATGGATTTCCAGCGCGATGTTGGGGGCCCAGACCAAGCCAACAGGACAGGGTGGCTCTGTGATTGGCATGTGCCACCACGGGAAAGAGTGCCATGCCTTGTCACAAAGACAATGCAAGGCAGTCTGGGCCACCGCGTAAAAATGTCAGGAATAACTGAAGGAAGCTTCGCTCCGTGCAAAACACAAGAACCAGCACTCTCTGTGGACGCTTACCGTAGACTGACATCTGCAATGCCCATGAGCGACAAACGCGCCGCGGTTATTTACCATCTCACTTTCAGAGAAGACCCAAGGAAACGGACTAATTTGCACAAAATCACACAGGTCCCAAGTAGAAGAGCTGAGACTTGAATCCGAGTTGCCTGGCTGGCTCCAGAGGCCAAGCTATTACTCACGGCGCCATATTGCTTCACGGGACGCGGGACGATGGAGGCACTACATGACCCAAGCTTTTACCGTTCGGGCACGAAAATACATTGTGTTTAAAAGCGGAAACATGATGGACCCTTGAACAACGAGAGGGTTGGGGCGCTGACCCCCCGCGCAGTCAACAATCCACGAATAACTTTTGATTTCCCCATTCTTAACTACCAAGAGCCTGCCGTTGACTCATCAGGTAAAGTCAACAGACACCTATTTTGTGTTCTCTGTATTCTCTCCGGCATTTGTACAACAAAGCAAGCTAGAGAAAAGAAAACGCCACTCAGAAAGTCCTAAGGAGAGAACACGTTGACAGTCCTGTGCTGTTGTTTACGGAAAAAGACGTGCCTGTGAGCGGACCGAGCACTGCAAACACACGGTGTTCAATGGGCAGCTGTGGTTCATTCCCACTGCCGTTCACCATTTTCTTGTAAAGACCGGTCAAGTGTGGGAAGGACCCGGATCCCTCAATTTAAAGGAGTCACAGTGGAGAATGCCAGCATCTCGCGGCAGCCCCGGGCGGGGGTGGAGAGTTGGAGGACTCTGACCGTGTCGGGTGTTGTGCCCAGAGCGTGGGGTGCTGCAGGGCCGCAGGGCTGTTCTCTGAGGGCCAGTGACAGGGCGACCGCCTCAGGGAGACGGCTGTACCCGCGCCTCAGCGTAAGAGGGGGTCTCCGTGGCAACATCAGGGGCTCTGAAAGCCACCTGCTCGGGTCGGAGGCCACAGCCTCCCCTAAAAGTCCATTACTGGTCTGGCAAGAGCTCCAGAGATTTCTTAATGTGCTCTAATAAGTCATCTCAGGGCAGATGCTGAGAGATATATTTACTTTCCACGTTTTCGGTTTGGACCGGGGACCACATGTCAGCCCGTAACGGATGGAAGAAAACAGAAACCCTTCACTCTGCCACAAAAAGCCTTCCATGAGGCTCGGGTGCATAAAGCCGAGAAGCAGGCCTCCAGAGGCGGGGAGGGGCTGGGAACCGGACAGGGCTCTTTGAGGCAAGAAGACAAGCCGTGTCCACGTCTCCTCACTCGGGCAACTGTTCCTTGCGCTGGGAGGTGACCCCAGAGAACGGGGTTAAAACGCTCGCCTGGCCCTGAGGACCTGTAGGGGGTGGGAGCACACCTCAACCCTCCCGGGAGCCCCCCGTCTTCTGGTTACATGTTGCTCTGCCACAAACTGCCCTGCAAACCTAGCGGCATGAAACGATCACTGTGTCTGTGATCCAAGAATTCCGGAAGGGCTGGGCTGGGTGGGGCTGGCTGGACGCATCCTCTCCCTTGGTGCGGGGTCCTCCCTGGGGTCTCTCCACGCGGGATAACTGGAGGCCTCGGGGCAATGGGGCTGCCTGCCTGTTGGCTCTTTTGTGACCCAGCTCTCTCCAAGCCGCCACAGGGCGACCCTTGTGCTCACAGCAAGCTGGTCACAAACGTCACCCGTGTTCGAGGGGAAGGATGACGGCTCTACCTTGTAATGCTGCGTAGCGACCTCCAGGAGAGCACACAGCTGGGGGCGTTGAGAACTTGACCGCGTTGCCAATGTGACCTGACGGAGAAGGACGCCCAGGAAGGAACAAGAAACTGAGACCCCCAGTCCTGCCAGCCTCGAGGAACTGAGGCAAGAGTCCTGCCAATGGCCACCTGATCCTGGAAGTATACGGTCTCTGCTGAGCCTTCAGATGAGACCCTGGTTCCCGATGGAGACGTAGACAGCGGCTCGGTGAGAGACCCTGGGGTAGAGACCCCGATTCAGAGGTGCCTGAATCCTGGCCCACGGAGGCCACGAGATAATGAGCATGTGGTGCCTGAAACTCGGGGGTAGTTTGTGACACAGCAGTAGACGACTGGTATGCTTGGCCTTTGCTCCACGGGCAGAGGAAGCGAGCCCTTGGACCTTCCCCGTCAACAAACACCCTTATTTGAAGTGTGGTCTTTCTGGGGCCAGGTCTGCAGCATTTAGGTCGCTGATGGGGGTGGTCTGGACCACAGTCAGCGTGTTCAGCGGACATCCGCCTGGCACGGAGCACAGGTGAACCGACCAAGGATTTCTGCAGAAAGTCGTCTCTCCGCGAGGGAGGCGGTGAGCACAGGACGCCCATCGGCGGTGTGCTGGGAAACAGGCTTTGCAACAAACACCTCGAATAAAGGCTCACCCTCTCGGCAAACACACCTGAGTCCAGAGCGCGCTTTCTGGAAGACGCGGAACAAACAGCGTGGCCTCAGGGACCCGTGAGGACGTGCCAGCACAGGGCGCACCTCCCTCACTTTGAGGCTCCTGATGGTGTCACGAAGGACGATTTCCACGCCTGACTTCACTGCTAATGAACACTTCCGCTCTTAACTTGCCTACTCAACCGCAGGATGTACTAACAGTCCTTCCTGGGGGCAACTGTGGAAGAGGCTGCTGTTTGGAAGCCGCTCGGGGCACCAGATGTTTTCGCGGGCTACCCGTGAAAGGGAGGACCGAGCACAGGGTCTGCGATCAAAGCACTGGGCGTTTCCACACAAAGTAGAGAAGTTGCGTTACTTTCCTTGGCAGTCTTGTAGCGTTCGCTTAAGAAAACGTGCCTGGTGAGGGGCTATTTTTTTCCTTTAGTGCTGGTCTCTTCAAGAAAATACACAAAGAGAAGGTATCAGGAGCCCTAAAAATGATTCAAACTTTTTGATTCTAAGAAGCCACCTTAAGTGAAAAGAGAAGGAGATAAAGCTTTATGTGGACGGTAGTTTATTGCTGCGTTGTTTATAAAAAGAACAGTGGAAATGTCCAGAGACGTGGGTATGGCTATTGACGGGATGTTAAATCTATATGACAGAATATCGTGAGGCCGTTAAAACGTTGCTGAGGACAATTTAGTGTCAAGAGAAAATGTTTACAATAGAAATGAAAGTATCCTAAAACCTGTAGAGATTATGATACCAGATTTGTAAGATAAATAAACCGATTGCACATTTATTGTACGTATAAAACGCTGGGAGGAAATGAACCGACTTATTAGCACTGGGTTATCCTTGGGTGGCAGGGTACTGATATATTATTTAACGTTTTTTCCTTGCATAACTGTGCTTCACAAATACTCTATGAGGCGCCTGAGAGGCTCAGTCAGTCCAGCGTCCGACTCCTGGTTTCGGCTCAGGTCGTGATCATAGGGTCCTGAGCTTGAGCCCCCACATCGGTTTCTCTCTGTGCTGATGGTGCAGAGACTGCTTGGGATTCTCCCTCTCCCTCCCTCTCTGCCCCTTCCCTGCTCTCAAAATAAATAAATTTAAAAAATACTCTAAAAGGAGTATGTATTGTTTTTATATGCAGAAAACAATTAAAGAGTAATCCAGATGTCCGTGTAGAATGTCACACAGCATCATGTCCTTACACACGATCGCCACCGACTGTCACCCCATCTTCAGATCCTTCCTCATTGAAGACTGGGCCTAATCCTTTACGATTCAGACATCAATCCCGACGCGTGTGTTTCCCCCCCCCGGGGCAGCTCGCCGACACCAGCTGGGATCCTCGGGTGCCATGCGATCCTGACCCCATCCACCCAGAGGTGGCGTCAGATCCCCCCCCCCCCGCCCCCCGCTGTGAGGGGCTCCATCCCATAGGACTGTCCCTCCCCATTGCAGGTGCCGGTCACTGGTCCAGGCTATAAGCCCGAGGTTCCCGTGACCCCCTCCTTGGGCTCGACTGATTTGCTGGAGCAGCTCACAGAATGCAGAGAAAACCCTTACTGACCGGGTTAAAGGATGTTAATAACTCAGGGGCAACCACACTGAGGAGACACATGGGTGTCGGGAAGGAGGCACAGACCTTCATGCTCTCTCTGGGCACCACTCGCCCCGAGTGCCAGGGGCTCACCCACCTGCACCCTCTCTGACACCCTTTCTCTAGGGTTTTTCTAGAGGCCTCACTACAGACGTAAGGTTGATTAAGTCACTGGCCGCTGGTAATGCAACCTCCAGCCTGTCTGCCCTCCCGGGAGATGTTGGGGTGGTTTGGGGGGGTGACCTCGGTGCTTTCCAAAAGTCACTTCATTAACCCAGGAAAGACCACCTTTGTTCCTCTCGTCACTCGGGAAATTCTAAGGCTCTTAGGAGCTCTGTGCCGGGAACAGCGATGAAGACCGGATCCGCGTTTCTTACCAAGGGGCAAAACATCACACCCTCCGTGCAGAGGATGCGCACTTAGGAGGCAGCCTCTGATCACGTAGGGAGTTCAAGGGGAGGTGACGCCGCGCGGGACCTGAGCCTAGGTGGATGGAATGCCCGGGGGCCGGGAGGCCGGGCGAACCTTGGCGACAGGTCTCTGCGCCCAAGGCAGAACCGCAGGCTCAGGACCAGAGCCGCAGCTGCCCCCGCCAGGAGCTGCCAGACGGTCCTGACAGTCAAGGCGGGTGCCTCCAGCTTTCTGGGCCGAGGGTGTAAGAGCTCCGCCGAGCCGGGGTCAGTGCGGGCCCGCGCGGTGCGCGCTTACCTGTTGCGCGCACTGGGCGCCCGGCGCTGGCACAGCAGGGTGGCGGTGGTGTGCTTCCCGCCGCTGCCCGTCTCCTGCTTGACGTCCCACTGCCGGGGCTCGCTGGTCTGAGCGCCCAAGATGTTCACCCCCTTCTTCACCTTGGCTCTGCGGGCAGGAAGACAGGCGAGAGAGACCCACGGCATTAGTGACCCGGCCTCTGCAAACGTGCCTGAGCCCCACTGCGCTGCGATCGCCCGCTCCGCGTTCACGCGCACGTTCCCGTGGCAGGTGCAGAGACGGACCGAGGGCTCCAGAGGGGTCACGCCGGGGTGGGCGGAGACCGTGCAAGGCGGAGGGGCCATGGACTCCAGAACGGCGGATCCGGAGGCCCGGGTCGGTGGTGAGGGTAGGGGGGCCCTGGTTGTCCCCCCGGACACAGAGACGTCGCCCCATAAAGCGTTCAGGGGGACCGTCAGTCTGCCTCGGCCAGTTGTTCTCATTTGGTGGTTGTTGGGGAGGCTGGTGTCCTGCCAGAGGCAGGTGGCAAGGTCAGGAGACATTTCCGGTTGTCGCCACTGGGTGGGGGTGCGCTGCCTGGGTGGGGGGTAGAGGCCAAGGATGCAGTTTAACATCCTACAATGCCCGGCACGATCCCCACAACAGACTCATCAGTCCAGAGGGTCCATAGTGCTGGGGTTTCCCAGCTCACACCCTGGGTTCACCACTTTGTAGCTGTGTGGTCTGGGCCCAACCACACCCTCTCTGAGCCTCAGTTCACCCCCTACCCCCAAAATGGATCTGCTAATAAAGCGGAATGATGAAATGTCTTAATGCCTATAAAGAGATTAGAATAGGGTGAAGCATACAGCAAGCACTTAATAAGTGTCCATTATTGCTACACTTGCTCCCATGTAGCTGCCTCCTCCAGGCAGGCTGCCAACCCAAGTGCACTAAGTTAGGGCTTGAAACAAAGGAAGCCTTCCTCTCCGGGCCGACTCGGTCCCTCTGAACCTCAGTGCTCTCGTCGACATACCGAGGAGAAAAGTAGCAGATGGAACGCGACCGCCTGCCTGTCCTCTCCCCCAAATCCCGCTCATGGGAGAACGGAGGCCCACGAGGTGGGGAGGGGACACGCCCAGCTGCCACGGATTCTGGAACGGGAAAGAGGTCTGACGCGAGCAAATTTGGGAGCAGGATTTCCACTCGCGGCACCAGCGGTCGGTGGGAAAAGTAAGAGTCAGCGGGGATCACACCGGGGGAGCGGCCTGAGGACTCGGAGGCCCAGCCCCAAAGAGGGAGTGAATGCTCACACTGGTGTTCCTCCAAACAGCAAGCCAGGGTGCCTGGGCTCAGACCTCCCAACGGCCGTGTGCCCCCAATCACTTATAGGAGCAAACGGGAGCTACTGGGCACTGAGAAAAGTCTCTACGTGATTACAGACACCCAAACAGACAAACAGAAAAAAAAAAAAAGCAATCTATACAAAATAGAGCCAATATGGGAAAGACCATAATTAAAAAAAAAAACAACAACAATCATTCATATTCACAGGGAAATCAGACAATACTCCACAATCATGAAACAAAAACACAATGCTATTTAAAAACGTCCAGAAAAAAAAAAGAGCACTTGGAAATTAAAACTATTATAGCAGAAATATAAAGGCATAGACTGGCTGGCTGGTGGATAGAGGAGATTTGTCCTTAGAGACAGAAAGAGCAAACCCACACCCAGGCACAGCAGCGGCACATGTCGACAGTACGGGAGAGTGAGTTCCGCACTCCTCCAGAGAGACAGAAGCGTCAGAGACAAGCACGGATTCAGAACTCACGACAGCCGCTCTGGAAACCAAGAGACCATGGAAAATAGCCCAAAACTCAAAGGGGGAGTGATTCCCAACCTCGAATTCTATACCCAGCCTGATTCCGAAGACCATGTTTCCAGACATGCAAGCTCTCTGACAATTTACTTCCTACATCCTTGCTCAGAAAGCTACCTGGAGATGTGCTCCATCAAGCGAGGGAGAAACCCAGAAGGATGTCAGACGTCAGAGGCGCAGGAAACACGTGATCTCATGCACGACAGGTGCACAGAGGGAAGGCGGCCGCAGAGGACAGGGGGCCCCAGCAAGGAGGAGAATCTGGCGGCCTTGCCGTCCGGAAATGGACATTTTCCTAAGGAATCTGGTGGGGATGAACGCTCCGGGGGGAGATCCAGACAGTCAGCTAAGCGTTTGGGAATGAACGAGAGCTCAATATACAGAAAATGAAGGGAAGGAATAAAACCGGACCAGTTTTTAAATCTGAAGATAAGAAATCATCACTCAGAAGATGCCACGTGATCAGAATTTCATACTTGGCTTTACTGTGATTAGCACACATGCTTATAATATCTTAAACACCGAATATGGACCCAGACAAAATATGATTATTTTATTGGAAGGATGGAGGCATAGAAAGGAGTCCCCTTATGGGGGGGGAAGAGGTATATTTTATCCTTTGTTGTGAGAAATTTATAGGTATCGCCTAAACACACACACACACACACACACACACACCAAAGCAAGATGCATCAACGTCACTCTCCCCGTCAGCGATATGGATGCAAATACCAGGCAAAGTAAGAATTTTGCTTCTGGAAGGAAACAGAACACTGCAGTATTTTTTAAAAATAAGTTTTCATTTTAAAATAGTTTGATGCTTTGAGGTTACGAGGAAGTTGCAAAAACAACCGGGCAATCCTAGATTTCTCGTGAGCCCTTCGCCCCGCTACCCCGGTGACCACGTCTTACTGAATGCAGGCACACACCTTCCTTGGATCCCACCTGCTGTCAGGTGTGCTGGTCTCTCGGGGTGCTAGAAAAGGTATCTCTCGTGTACTTGCCAGCCAGACAGAATAGAGAACAACACAGAAAAGCCCGGAACACTCACGCCTGGCAAACACCCATCCGTTCTGTCACCACCATCTTGTCACTGGGAGCGTGTTACATACGGTTTTGACCGACAAACTCTGCAGAAAGATTGGACTCCTCAGGGTATATGCAGGGTTACAGCTTCTGAAAGTATCAGCAAGGCAAACACACACACACACACAGGTACATGCACACCTCTGCCCTGCTCACCGCCCCCCTCCAGGAGTGGAGGACGTAAATCCTCGTGAATAGTTGGGGAGCTACATCAACATAGCTGAGCAAACCTGGTTGCCAGCACTCAGTAAGCCACATCACCACTGTCAAAGTTCGGGTGTCCTGGTCAGCATCAGCCCCCAGAGCAGCAAGAGCAAATCAGCAGCATCAGGCACCTGCTGTTTAGAAACTTCTCCCAGGTCTTGCATTAAAATGATGTGCTGAGGGGCACCTCGGTGGCTCAGTCGGTGAAGCCTCCAACCTTGGCTCAGGTCGGGATCTCGCGGTTCGCGGGTTCGAGCCCCGCGTCGGGCTCTGGGCTGACGGCTCGGAGCCTGGAGCCCGCTTTGGATTCTGTGTCTCCCTCTCTCTCTGCCCCTCCCCAGCTTGCAATGTCCCTCTCTCTCTCTCAAAAATGAATAAACATTAAAAAAAAAAAAAAGAAAGAGTAGGGACGCTTGGGTGGCTCAGTCGGTTAAGTGTCTGACTTCGACTCAGGTCATGATCTCAGTGTTCATGGGTTCGAGCCCCACATCAGGCTCTGTGCTTATGGCTCAGAGCCTGGAGCCTGCTTCAGATTCTGTGTCTTCCTCCCTCTCTGCCCCTCCCCAGCTTGCAATCTGTCCCTCTCTCTCTCAAAAATGAATAAACATTAAAAAAAAATGTCTTTTTTAAATGATGTGTTGAACGCAACTGGTCACCTTGGCCACAAGGAGACTGGGGCGCACCTAAAGGACGGGCATTAGGACACATTAGCATGCAAAAGCCCCCCATTTGTCCTAAGACGGGGGAAATCAACGCCCCAATGGTCTCTTAGCACGGACACCCTCTACCTTTACTGCCCATAAGAAATGCCTCATGAAATGTGACTTTGCTTGAAATCGGGTTTTGCTGCATTTGGATTTTGCTCAAGACTCCAGGTTTCACTGAAGCTACAAATTGTTCTTTCCACTTAATAGTTCGCACAAATAGAAGGATTCTTGCTGACGGGCGCGGAGGCTGGTTTCATCTGTGCATGAGGTGGGCCATGAGCCCGAGCTGGGACGAAGGCACGGGCTTTCAGAGGTCGATTTTGCTAATTGGGCGTTTTCTGCGTGAGACCAGCGGGTGTGGCCCTCTCCCCCAAGGAGCAGGAGTGGAATTTGCGAGGAGGGAGGGCCTGTGGGAACGCGCGATGGGCAGGTGAGGACGCCTGGCTTCTCGGGGAGGAGCCTGGCACCAGAGAGGCCACGCCCACTCAGCATCCCGTGGTGAGGGAGCGGAGTCGCTGGAATGGACGTGGGGAAACCGGCTGGGCTGCGGGGCGGCCTCTGCTGGCGACCTTGGGCACGTCACTCCCTGCCCTCTCCTCCTTTTCATTCTCTGCCTAGGGGGTGGGGTCCCCTATGTGTGGCTCTGCTGTTGCCCGGGTCAGGAGGTGACTCTGGAGGCTGGGAGGCAGCGCCGCGGCACCTGCTTAACGTCGGCACGGGCGCCCCCGCAGGCAGCGTGCAGGGCGCTGAGCGCGTCATCACAGGCCCCGGGCACCCACCCGCCCTGGGGGATGCTTCCTGTGCGGTCTGGGCGCCCCTGAGCCGGCTCGTGCCACCCCCACGTGGCTGTTGTTTTTTAAGCTTATTTATTTTGAGAGACAGAAAGAGCATGAGCTGGGGAGGGGGTGGGGGGCAGAGAGAGGGAGAGAGAGAGAGAATCCCAAGCTGTGATGTCAGCGCAGAGCCCGACGCAGGACTCGAACTCACGATCCGCAAGATCCTGACCTGAGCTGAAACCCAGGGTGGGACGCTTCACCGACGGAGCCGCCTGGGCGGCCCCTCGTCCGCACACACGTTTGTGCTTGACGCTCCGTTCAGTCCACTCAGTCCTTGGCTGCTTAAAACCCAAATGTGTCCCCCCATCTTTTCAAAACGTCCTTGGCTCTGTTGTAACACAGGGATGATCAAGCGTTCCGTAAAGAAAATCGACGTTCGGTACAAATTCCGGACACAGGGAGCCTGATCTCTGTCCTCCGATGCGTCGAACTCGGGGTGCACCAGAATCCCCACGCGAGATGCTCTCTGTCTAGAAGATCCCCAAGCCACTGAGCTTCCAGAAGCCACTGGTATGGTTGCTGCTGGAATGAGCATGTGCGTGGCTTCAGGAGGGGGGTCGGGGGACGGGGGGCTGGGTACCACCTGGTCTGTGGCCCTGTAAGGCTGAGTTGGCTGAATCTGATCCCCAGAGTAAGTAAAAGAGGAAAGAATATAATTAGCTGCTATTATGGGTGGCCCTGTACTTCCGTCTAAATCCGTATGCTGAACTCTCAACCCCAGCGCTTTGGAACGGGACCTCACGGGCACAGAGGCAACCCCGTTCAAGGGTGGCTCCAGGGTGGGCCCCAAAGCAGCGGGACGGTGACCGCACGTCCCCCGAAGAAAGGGCAGCTTGTAGACAGACACCCTACGGGGACAACGCCATGTCAAGGTGAAGCCAGCCGTCCGCACACCGAGGAGAGGGGCCTGGGAAGGCTCTCCCTCAGAGCCCTCAGGAGGGACCTTGATTCTGGACTCCTGGCCTTCAAGAGCGAGACACAACACATCTGTCCTCTGAGCCACCACCCACAGTACTCCAGGTTTCACTGAAGCTACAAATTGTTCTTTCCACTTAATAGGGGTTTGCCCCAGCAAACCAACACAGCTGCCGACATTAAAATAAAACCAGGAGGGGGGCACCGGTGGAGCGTGGGACTCTTCATCTCAGGGTTGTGGGTTCCAGCCCCACGTTGGGTGCAGAGCTTACTCAAAACTACAATAAAAAGCTTCCATACAAAATTCTGGATTTGTGCTTTTAAGCCGCTGTGATGTTCGGTCATTCAGCAAGCAGTTAACCACTGTGCCACGTGGCCCCACGTGCCCAGCGCTGCTCTTGGGGACAAGAATCCCACGAGCCCACATGTCTTCCCTTGGAGAACTCACGTCCGGTTGGGAGAGACAGACGGTAAACCAGAATGTCCTACCTGACCTCAGGGTCTCTTTCGGAGGGAGCTGGCCAGGACAGAGCTACGGAGCGAGCAGCCTCTGAAACAGCCCACGTGGCCTGGCCCCTGCGAGGAGACGCGCGATGCAAAAAATGATGACGTCCGCAAACGAGCAGGGGAGCGACGTCCCAGTGGCCGTGGCTTCAGTGCCCCCCACCCGCCCCACGGGGGAGTAGCCTCCCGTTGTGTGCTCGTGGCGGCTCCTGCACGAGGGGCCGCGCTTTGCACGGGCCGTGTGCTGTGTATGAGGACGTGACACCCTGGTCGGTCACCCCGCCACGCGAATAAGTCTCATAAATCCACGTCCACAACCATTCCACCCGGGAACCTGACAAGTCCCATAAAGCTGACGTGGCAGGCAAAAGGGGCTTGAGGGGTTTTTTTGGTTCTTTCAAAGCACTTAAGGGAAAAGAGACATTTGTCTGAGATCCGGGTCTCCGAATAGCTATCTAACGGATATCGGTGCTGTCACTGCTGTCCTCATAATGTCACCGGGTCCGCGTGGCTACCCTGGTATCGTGGGCTGGTGCCGAGTGCAGGCTGGGTGTATGTGAAATATCTACCGGGGTTTCCCCAAATCCTACCCTCAAATACTGGACATAGTCATACACTCGCTGTGCTATCACCTATTTAATATTGTTCTAGAAACGCACTACCCCCTCCCTTTCTTTTTTGCTTTAGCAAAGTTCTTTCAGAAAAGGAACTCTGTAGCAAGCACAAATGGAAAAAACGAAAACAAAAAACAACTTCCGAAACGCGCATCAAACTAAACACACGACGGTAAAATTTTAAAGAGCCTGTACATGAATCTCATAAAATAACCTATCTTGCTACCGCTGTGCCTGTCACACTCAGGAAGCGTTGACATACATAGAGTTTAAGACTGCAGGGTTCTCCTTCACGCGTGGAGCTTTAATACAGGGTCTTTCAGAACCCGGAGGAAGGGGAAAGCCGAAGGATCCCGTGTCATGAGAGTGTCGCGAACGCTTCTGCCACGCTCTCTCGGTACCAGCGTGAGCTGGCTCCCGTCTGCCCGCCTCCCACCATCATCCCATTCCAGCGGGAGCCAGGGACTCCCTGACTGGGGGCAGCAGCCTTTCCGAGATGGGGCCCAGCTTCCTGCCCGCGCTGGTGGCGTCCTCTTGAATCATTCCTAGATTTCCTGTGGGGGCAGCCCTCTGCCCACCGACGGGAGGGGAGACCCCAGGAAACGAGGAACAGACTGGTTCCAAGAGGCGGACGGTGTCCCAGGGGTCATTGCTGCAGCTTCCGAAAGGAACTTGTGTGTGTGTGTGCATGTGTGTGTGTGCGTGTGTTTGTACACGTGCATGCATCTGTGTGAATTTGTGTGTGCATATATGTAGGCGTGTGCACACACACGTGTGCCTGTGCACGTGTGCATGTGTTTATGTGTGTGACAGGTATGCGCGTGCATGTGTGCACCTGTGTGAATTTGCGTGTGCCTATACGTGGGCACGCATGTGTGTGTATCCGCTGAAAGCCGGCTCCTTCTCCCGCGTGTAGGATTCCTCGCCTGTCACTGACGGAGACCACGGTCACCACCAGGGCATCTGAACAAGCACCCCTCACCTCTCAGTCTGCTGTGAAAACCGCGGGCTGTCAAATGTTTTCCCCCCGCTGAGTGGCTTGGGTTGTCTTCTGTTCAGCTTCTCAAACACTGACCCCTTTTGGCCATTACCTTCTGCTGCCTCACATCTGCCTTCGATATAGGGTGCAGAAGATAAAATGCATCGGCAACTCCACGAATGTTTGAGGTCCAGTCCAGGGCTCGGAGAAC